TCGCCGGGGTTACAAGCACATCTGGGACCGCATGATCAACTTCATAACAAGTTTCTGTCAGCCTCATTGAGAATGAACATTTGGCATGAATTTGTGTTTTGTAGGTAATAGACAATGTGATACACAAAGCCAAATTGAGTGTACAATCATGTACATGTCAGTCAAAAAGGAAACATCATACTAATAACACATCTATTATAGTGACATTGAATTAACTTTGATTTGATTCTTAATCTATACAAATTCATTTTACACAGTCATATATTTTTATAAAATTTATGAAATGTTGGCTTTGCCAGCTATGCCACAATTAAAACACAATCTAATTAAGTATAAAATCTAATTAAAATAAAAACTATTAAGATAGATATTCGAGTTCATATGACTGCTAAGAGAATGCAAATTATTCCATTTTGCTAAAAAACGTGTCTTTTTAGTGACACCTGATCATGATCATTAAAATTTTTATAATTTAGGAATATTTCCTAGAAAGTGTTTGAAACTTTGATTAAAAATCATTGCATTTTAATGCAAACATGAGACTAAATGACATTAAACTGCTGAATTGTGTTTCACAGATGTATACTATTAGATTTTAGATTATCTGACACTTGTATGACAGTCATACATTTTCTTCCATTACAAAATGAACATTTTTGTATACAATATTGGTGTGAGTCATCTTCAATAATTGCCTTTCAAATCACATTCTTAAGAAAACAGGCCTTCGCTCTCTCTAATTTCAAGGTGCGTCACTGAGTATATTAAATCAGCCAATAAAAATGCAGCCTTCAAATATTTCAAGTTCCTGGAGTAATGAAGACATGATTACTATGTGCATGGTAATGGTAGATGCTTAATAAAAAAAATTATAAATGATAACTTAAAGGCCTTCTAGATCTCTCTACCTCAAAAAGTGCATCACTGATACATTCAAATCAGCAAATAAAAACATTGCCATTGATACATGTAGATGTACAATGTACAATGTATGTACAATGAGTATTTGATTATTAGAATAAGTATCTGAATAAGAATGCAGCTGTGTCAATCATTCATATTCCGTACTGAATAGACTTGAAGCCTGAATCGTTAAGTCACTTGGTTTGATATCAGACGGTGTCACTAACAACGTTCTGTGATCTTTTTTGGAGGGAAATTCAGTAGTCCCAAAATCAAGCAACCAAAATGCAGACATCTGATCTACATGTAGTTTGTAGAGTTATGTTTCATCAAGACAAGCTCTGATTAGATTTTTACACCAATTTTCAAGATGTGGGATTTGGAAGCAATAATAAATATACACATGTTGCCAAATCCAAATGAGTTATCATGATTGTACACAAAATATCATTTTGTAAAGTCAAAACTAATATACACTAGTAGAGGGATAAATCTCTTTGAGTACTCTAGCGGACAAGAGAGTACTAAAACAGACTCATCACAAAGGACAAGACCAAAAGAGAGCTGGAAGAGCTCTGTCCCCACAAGAAGAGACTCCAAAGAGAACTGCTGTAGATTCCTTCTTGACACCTAAGGTTGGACCCCCTCAGATACCATCAATTGTTTTGAACAATAGATAATTAAATGGGGATTAGTGTCTAACCCTAACAATAGAATGACAATGACATAAAAACAACATCACAGCAGCCATGTTTTCACAGGTAATTTTGAAAGAGACTTTTCAAACAATGGGAAATTTACATAACAAAACAGCTGTAAAAAAGAGACTTGTAACAGACTGCAAGAGATCTGAGATAGTATTTGGGAGAACAATGCCTAATCCAAAGAGAACTGCAGAGTACTCAATTGTCCGCTAGAGTACTCAGAGAGATTTATCCCTCTACTAGTGATATAACATATTATATTTATTATAGATGTTTGATATCATAGAAAATTCAAAGATTGCTTGATATTCTGTAATTGGTCACCATTTTCAAATTAGATACTTTAATTTCCCAAATTCATTGCTGAGATCATTGCATTTTAATGTAAAGCTGAGACTAAATGACTATTAGTAAGTTATAGATGATCTGTATCATCTGTTAGAGACTGTATCATCACAGACAGTCAGACAGTACTTCAGTGTGATTCATCTTTAGTTTCCGTTCCATTGGTACATTCTTGAAATAAAAAAAAGACCTTTTAGTGGCGTCGTGTGGTGTAGTGGTACATCACTGGACTATGAAACGGGGAGACCCGGGTTCGATTCCGGGTCGTACCCGAACAAGTCCGAACATGCGCCCCGACGTTGTACCCTTGGGAAAGGTACTTTACACGACTTTCATCACTTTACTCAGGTGAAAATGAGTACCTAGCTTTGGCTAGGGACGTCCCTCGGATAGGACGTAAAATGGAGGTCCCGTGTTTGGGAGAGTCACACCCCACGCACGTTAAAGAACCCACCGCACTTATCGAAAAGAGTAGGGGACCTTCCCGGTGTGAGTGGTTCAAACCTTACAGCCTGGTCTCGGGGTTGACATCTTTGAAAAGGTGGTAGTCACCTGTTATGTCAATCCTTCCACAAACGTGGTAAATCTTCATAAATAAAACCTTCTCTCTCTACAATGTACCTGCAAACGTGCGTCATTCATACATTAAATCTGCCAATAAAAACAAATATTTCAAGTTCCTAGAGTAATGAAGTCATATCATAAATATGATGATGTGCCTGGTATGCCAACAACAACATGCCATGGTATGTTATGCCACTCCTTTTGCTGCCTGAGTGATCGTTTCATAAGCCTCTGACTAAGAACACATGTACAGCCGTGTCAATCATGCACAATACTGAACTGACTTGAAGCACCCATGGTTAAGCCACTCAGTTTGATACAGTAGAGTCTCTGTTTTTAAACACTAGCATGCAATTCAGCGCTACTTTTTTAGTTGCGCTGCCATGTGCTAGCGATTGTACTCATCGATCAATCAATAAATCACGATTTTTTCATGGTACTTTAAATTAGTTTAAAAAGTCACTTCCGTACCGCGAATTTATGATTATCGCGAACAAATAGTCCACCAACTTTCTTCTGCACCTGCCACCACAGTGACTGAAAAACGTATTATTTTGTTCAGCGAACATTTTTCTCAGACTGCAAAATTTTGCTACTGCGAAAACAAATTTAAAGTGATTTACAGTATCAGACAAATGCCAGACTAATGACCTGTAAAAGAGGAGATGTGAGGTCTTCAATTAATGTAAATTAAGCCTTTTTGCTTGCTACCACCTTGACTAGGAAGCATAAAGGAAGAGCCTGTGCTTGAGTGAGTAGTAACTATGGCTAGGGCCTGGTTGGAACTTCATTTGGGGCAATGCTGTTTGAGTATTAAAACTCAATGAGCTCAAGGTGGTTGATGTTAACATTGCTTTTTGTGGTCCTGAGATCTAGCTAGTGTATAGTATGCTCCTTGTTGTTAGTCACATACTTTTTAGTACCCTACCTAAAGTTGTTATCATCAAGTCTTTTGAACTTTGGATGTTCTTCAATGCTTTCTTGTATATGTACAGTATATACATGTAGTAGTACAACTCTAGAACTAGAGACTAGCAATCTTAGAATTAACTTAATTGTACAAAATACTTGTTCCCAAAACTTGCCGTTCTTTTTTGTACCTTGTATCAAGTGTTGCACAGTAATTTAAAAGTCTAATGAGTTACATGTATGCACCATTACTCCAGCCAGACTGGGTATTACATAGTACGATGACTACAGAGGATACAATGTAAAGCCCAGGCTAGACCCTAGTAGAAACTTCATTTGAAGTCAATGTTATATGTTGTTTAGGTAAACTTATTGAGCTCATAATATATACATGTAGTTCTGGATGTTGCTTTTTGTGATCCTGAGATCTCGCATGCTTACATAATTATTGTATATATCACCTCTTTGCTCCTACCTTGCTGTAAGGCACTCTGTTGTTTGAATATAACCGTTTGATGTTGTTATTGTAAGTTGTACTACGGTAACCGTAACAGTGACATAGTATTACATTTGTACCGTCAATAATATTATACTTACTATAGTAATGTACAATTAAATGATATATGTTTGTAGAATATACTTACTTGACAGTCAAGTCATTTATTATTGTTAATTGACAATGTTAATGAAAATACCTGACTGTGAGTGTCGCCATCCTTTCAATCTTTGTACCTTGACAATGTTGTTTGTACATGATTGTTTCAAGACTTACATTGTAGTGTTGCACAATAAAGTTTCTGCACCATTACTTCATCTGGCTATGGAAGTGTTGTTTTGGGCGTTGCAATTGGGTGTGTTTGTGTGTTTGCTTGTATTGTACATATACGTGTTTTGTATCTACTATTACTAGGAAACTTAAGGTAGCAGAGTGGCATGGGGGGGGGGGTCGTAACTGCAGGTTGACCTTGTAATATTGTTAGTCTAAAATTAATGGTCTTCTGGCAGGCACTGAGCCCACCCACTCAGTTACTGGGACTATACCCTGACTTAGCCTAGGGCTACCTACATGTACATGTTGTAATATTATCATAATCGCAACATGGAAATAGGTGTGAAGTGCCTTTCAGAAGGGCACAACATTGAAGCCAGTGAGAGGGATTCAAACCTACAAAAGTCAGTCTTAAAGACTAAGGACTTTGTACCCAGGACTTGAACCCAGAACCTTCATAATGGCTGAATGACATCTGCTACAGCTACATTACTATGATTTAGTATAGTCATGTACACTTGTACTTCCAACACAAGTTCACCACAATCAGCCAGGACAAAACTGACAAATTCTATAAAAAACAATATATGAGACACATGTTCTGTAAAATTATGGTCTGAGCTTCAAGTTGATCTTTCCAACTTCTAAAACTTGTACAAGGATCATTCAGTTGGATTTTATGCAATTAGTGGACAGGGACACATGCAGCAAGCCTAGGGGTTAGAAAATAAAACATTTGGTCTCCAATGACAAGAATTAGAGTAGGCAATAAGAAAAGATAGAAGGAGGTATATTGAGAAGTGTACCATGTCTTTGCTGGTTGACTTGATGATCTCACTCAGCCCGATACAGACTCCCTGTCTCTGGTCACTCTTGTCTGACTGCAGCCCTCGCTCCAGAATGGGCACCACGTCCTGTAGTACCCGCTCTCCCAGCTTACGTACCAGGTCTCCTAAAGTCCTCGCTGCAACCTACATACAGACATAAACACACAGGTCTGGTGTCAGCATTATTGTATCATCAGTCACAACTAAACTTAACTTCCCAGATTCTTTGTTGAAGGGATTAATATCAAAAGAAAACTCAAGTTTGTAACCAGAAGGTTGAGAGTTCTGACCCCAGACGGTCAAAGACTAAAAAAATGTAATTATGTTACATGATATTAATTCCTTTCTCTGCTTAGCACCCAGTATCTATGAGAAAGAGCATGGGAGTTGAACACATACCACCACCAGTGAACTAGCCCCATGCTGTAGTGATTACATATTAACTGTGTGGCCCGAGGGCTACTAAAAGAGATAGGCACCACCTCTATGCTCCAGATAGAGTGGAACAGGACCTTTTTTCTTAACATCAAACCTGTAACAGTGTAAGTTCAACAAATGCATGCCTCATCTTGTACTCACTTTGTTATTCAAAGAATCTCCCCTTTCTATATTATGTACTTGGAAGTTTAAATACAACTTATTGAATTAAAAAAGAAATATGAATATGATTATGTGTGTACACTTATGATAGATTGAAATAACAAAGTCACAAACATGTAATAACTGTTCCAAAGGCACAGTAGCTTAATCCAGCATCTTTACTTTCCTTCACAAAAGAAGATATTTGCTCCACAATACTACACAGTCAGACCAGGCAGGATTCAAACACAGGAACTTTGTTTTCTGGGCCACCTGCTGTTATGCCAAACAGCCCCACAATGTAAAATTGGACAGGCAGTCATTGTTTTAATGTGGTGTATTGTGTAAGTAGTTGCTGCACCAGGTTTGACTGTACAATCATGTATATCATACCCGGGCCGCGATAATGTTCGATAACGGGTTCCGGACTGGGCCTTACTTTACGGTATGGCCTGGGCATCCCTGGCTTTCATAGAACAATTAGAACGTGTTTTGCTCTAAACGCGTGTCTGCTTTATCGAAAATTCGAATACAGAATTAGGACGTTGGAATGGAATTTGTTGCATTTTTTAGTTTAGGGACACCAAACTTGGGCTCATTTTGCATTGAAAGGCGCGTTTCCTTGGGTAGGTATGACATGAATAAAAATTTATACAGCACGGTGTATTCTGCATTGCCCTCAATCCCAGCCCTCCCGCGAGTCGGATCGTGGTCGGGCCGATACCTCGGGCGATACGGAATACCCCGTGTTGTATTCATATGTACATGCAGGTCTTACCTGTCGTTTATCATAGCTTGTTGAAGCCAGGCAGCCCAGTAACAGTTCAAACAGCGTGTCCAGGATATCCTTCAGCGTGCGCGGGGTGTTCTGTACGATGATCTTCCAGATGTGGAGCGAAGCCTGCCGTACCATCAGGGACACGTCCGAGCGCCCCATGTACAACCCTGCCAGCACACGGTTCCTCCTCTCCACACCCAGGGTACGCAGGATGGCCTTGGGGGAGAGGGAGCTCTTCAGTTAACACTAGCCGTATGGCAGGGAATGGTTTACACTTTGTTAACCAGTGTCCTCACTATGGGACCGGCAGAAACAGATTATTGCAAACAGTTACCACAATTTATCCATCCTTTCATCATCTAGGAGATCACAAAAGGTAATACTTTTTCTATTAAAGATAATCATGATAGCAAGCTACAGTTTTTTTTCAGACTAGTAGTTGTGTATTCCCTATTATAGAACTGATTAATATTATATTGTTACAGTACCAAATAGTATCTTTGACTCTGTAAACCAATTACCGGTAGCCTTTGGGCATGATTTTGCAAATAAAAGCTGACAAATTCTATCAAAAACTGAGAATTGCTTAATTTTATTATCCAATATAAAATTAATGCAATTCCAGGGCAGCAAAATAAATGGCTACCTCCTGTGACCTGGCTGTTCCAAAACTGTCATCTTCACTGGCAGTCTCTGTGGTCATCTTCCCACTCACACCTGCACAAAGGAACAACATCATGCTTTTAAGGTTGTAACCGTTACAAACGTAAAGTACATGTATCTCTGAGACAAGTTTTGAAAACAAAAATGATGTACCAGTGTCCGGGTGCCATGGTTTAATATCAGCTGATAAACTGGAAGTGTCATGTTGTGCATATTTCTTACTTCCATTCCCATACATTTTCCACATGGTTTTATTTCCTTTATTTCTCATGCAAAAGTTGTGGAAATTGAATTATTAAATTTTGAATCACGATTAAGACTGTGTAACATGCAGTTTAAAACTCCTGCAAAAATATGCTACAATGTCTCTATTATATATATAATATAAAGCACAATAACACACAATCACACAAACATCCATTTTATTTGTCCAGGCCTGGAGGAGAAATCTGAAAAAAACCTGTTTCACAAGAAATAAACACAATTTTAACGAAAAGTAAAAGCCACTATGTAAAACGAGAGATGCACTAGTTTTTTTATCATTTTACAGGACTTTTTATTATCACAATTTGCATGCGTGCAGATGGGAAGTTACTAGTATTTGACACCTGTATTGTAAGTTTGAAGCTTGTCTCCTTACCTGACAGATGGTACAACAGATCCCCCAGCAGCTGTACTGAACTGTAGCGGATTCTCCAGTTGTCATCAAACAATCCCCCCTCCAGCTCGGGCAGCAGGAGAGCGATGGCGCGCTCCGCGTACATCTGTACTATCCTCTGTCCTGCTCTCAGGGCAGTGTCTCTTAGGTACTCACACTCATCTGCTAGTGCCTGGTGAAACATCATACAGGATTAATGACTGTCCATCACAATTATCCATTCAACCAATGATAACATGGCAATTAGAGGTTTGACCAATGAGAGAGTGGCAGAATGTCAGGCAAATATTTGAATGTGTTTTATGCTTTGACTAAGCTAAGGTACTGTGGGTCTATGAGAAAGGTCCATTGTAATTCCACTGAAGGCTCTTCTCAGTACACAAGACTCAGTCAAAAATCCCTTTTTCTGCATACATGTACCTGCAACAGTGTACCTGGTACTGTAAAAAAAATTACTGGTGCAGGTAACATGGAAAATTAACTTACTCGTAGACAAATTCTACCTGTGCCACTCAGAATTTAGAAAGTATTGATCACACTAAATACTATCTAAAATATTTATTTCATATCTAGGCACCTGACATGATGAAGAATTTATCTTAAACTTCAAATCATACTATTTAGAGGTTAACAGTCAGTGCAGCAAATCAAAATCCTGTTACATGTACATGTACAAAATTTGGTGTCCCTAATAAACAAAACATTATTATTATTAGTAAAAGCTGGGCTTACTTTGAGAATAGGTGGAATGATGGGTCCCACATACGGGGTGAAGTCCTCCCTGAAGGTGGTTGGGAGGTAGATGAACATCATGATGTATCCGTCCCGGATGTGCGGCGCTACGTCCTCGTTGTCCGCCATCTTACAGAAGTCTGGCATGAGCTCCTCCAGCTTGGCTGTGCCCAGACCTGCCATCACCTCACTTAGACCTGGATTCATAAAACATCCTCTATGGTTATTCAATATGTACATTGTAATTATTGTCACTGTGGAAGGATTGACATAACAGGTGACTATCACCTCTTTAAAATGTCAAACCTGAGACCAGACTGTAAGGTTTCTACCACTCACACTGGGAAGAACCCCTGTAAGTTCTTTTTGCCAAGAACTCTGTTGAGATCTTAAATGTGCTCAAGGTGTGGCTATCTTCAAACACGGGACCCTCAAGAGGATGCCAAGTGAGGAAATATGTGTTAAGTGCCTTTTTCAAGGACCACAATAAAGGGTACCAGCCAGGGATACAACCCCAGAACCTTCCATTTTTGAGTCAACAACCCTAACCACAAGACCACCTTGCTACTTAATGTTATATACATGTAAGTACTGACTGACTTTACCAACACTGTTACATCTACTGTAAAGGTCCTCAGTTCAAATCCCTGGCAGGCCACATTGCTTTGTCCTTGGGAAGGCACTTTTCACCTATTTCCTCAAGTGACTAACTTAAAGGTGAACATGAAATTTGAACACCAGAATATGATTATTCTGAATGAGCTGTACCTAGATTTGAAGCTACATTTTGTACATGTACAATTTTTTTAAACCGAATTTAACATCATTTTTCCCTAACTGGGGGTTAGACGTGCTTGCACCAAGTACAAGTCTTTTTTGAAGCAAGATTTTTACAGCTGGATGCTCTTCAAACCCGGGGCCTAGTAGGGCCCAGGAACCCTCTAACTGAGGGGGGAAATGCAATTATCATGTACAATGTATGTACTGCATGACCGTACCTTGTGCAGCCCCTGACCTGTCCACAGAGCTCTGTTCTGACGTGAGTGTTTCCATCAGCCAGGGCAGCAGGTCATCAAAACTGGCCTCTCCCATCCCCTTCACCATGGCTCCCAGGGCACGGGCTGAGACATTTCTCACCTGCACACGACCATGCAAACACAGAAAACACAACATTACAGCAAGCATACTGGTGAGGGACATGAATATGTGCCTGTAACAATACTCTTTCCTCTAGCACGTTGGCAGAACGTACCGCACCTGCAAAAAAAAACATCAAAATGTAGTGTGCACAGCACTTAATCAGAAGGTCTTAAGGTTAGGATGACATCCCATAAATAGTTTTCAAATGTTGTGTTGGACAACAATCTTCAACAGGTAAAATTCTCGTGCAACGTTGACCAAAGATCCAATGAAAACCATGATCATAAAAATCTGGGTTTCACATGCTCTTTCCTCTCAACTAAAATTGCCTTTCAGACAACCTCCTTTTTTCATTGTGTGTAGACTTTTTTCAGTCATAACTTGTATCCAATGCACATGTGACCCTCAAGAGGACCTGAGATGCTGAACACAGATCATCATTATCACCTCAGTCAGAGTCTTACGTTTTATTTCAAAAAGGCTGCTATATGATAATTTCTGATGTCTTGTACACAGTGTAAATTTTGTACATATTAAAGCTTACCTCAGGTACAGGGTCCAGTAAAGCTTGCTTCATGCCGGGTGTGACAGATGGTAAATACGGTGCTAAGTCCTGGGTGAAATAAAAATAAGTTAGAACCTGACCAAGGATGATTTCCTTGTTGTGCCTGGAAGTGTGTGAGCTATGAGCAATTTAAACTATAATTATCGTAATGTATAGACTGACATATAATGAACATTTGTTTGTAAGAAGTTAATCATGACCTCCATTCTGCATATAAAATCAGGGCTCAAAAATTCATTTTTGGGAATAGGTACGCACCTAAAAAATTGGGTGCACAAAAAAAATTTTGGGGTGCACTTAATAAGACAAAATAGAATGTCAGCAAAACTAATTATGTCTCATTTCTAGAATAATTCTAAAGAAAAGTATTATAGCAATGATTTTATCATTTTTCTGACACTTTGATGTTAAGAATATGCTGTATACTGTAACTATAATACCTTTAGCATCTTTACATATTACGTAAACCTACGAAAATATTTGGCACATGCACCCAGTTTTTCGAGCCCTGAAACTTGATGTCAACTTTGTAGCCCATCTGCATGTACTTCTTTTCATTTCTAAGCTCAGTTAGTGATTTGAATTAACTCAATCTGTGACATAATTAGTGCTGCATACCTAAACCCACATTTAGGTTCAGGTCCAGATTCAAGTCCAGAGGTTTAGTTTCAGTTCCGGACTTGTAAGTCCAGACCTAAACCCACGGCATATACAAAATTGCATGTTGGCAACCTTGCAATGTTGTTTGGGCAAAACTTTTGGCCACATAACATGGAGGCTGACACTTTACGATGCCTGATGGCAATGTTTTCTTCATTTTGAAGCAAAGATTTTGCAATCTACGAAAGGTTTTAGGTGGTTTGGAAAGAAAAGGGGTATGTGAAATGGTCTTTAATGGTAAGAAGTCGGACCAGACTCGGTTCTTGACTTTTAGTTTTTTTTTGGACTTGAACCTAAACATTATTACAAGTCCGGATCCAAGTCCAGCCCTAGACATAATGTGATAAATAATGTGCACCTTCTGATCAGTGAGTGAGTACATGTTGCCGATGATCTGACATGCCATCTTCCTGGTCTCAGTGGACCTGTTCTCAAACGCCCTGTGTACTACCGGCATGATCAGGGCCAGGGACGGGGCGTCCACAAAATGTACAAACTTGGTCTCCAGCAGGACCTGTAGGCACATGGCTGTCTTGTGGGAAGGGTCACCGATCGCTTCCAGAAGGATGGGTACAATTGCTACATGGAGGGAAAAAATTCACGTCTTTAAGAATTCATTATTTTGAGATGTTGGTAAAATGGTAACTACATTGTACATCTAAGGTTCTATTCTGATTTCAAAATTATTAAGCTATCAGTTTAAGACAAAAAAACAAAGAAAGAAAGAAAGCAAGAAAGAACGAAAGAAAGAACGAAAGAAAGAAAGAAAGAAAGACAGAAAGAAAGAAAGAAAGAAAGAAAGGAGAGAAAGAAAGAAAGAACTGGTAACTGGTGCTGTAGCAGACATCCTGTGGTGTAGGGTTACATTATGTTGCAAGTTGCAGGACAGATCTAGAGTTGGAGAGGTGGGACCTTACATGAAATGTGTTTGAATAAACAGAGCAGTACTTTTAATTAAAATTACCTACACCATGTGAGGGTAAACATAATGATTATGCATTTGCTTTGCAAAATGTAACCTTCAGTTTCTAGTATATACCATAACTGACCTTGAATTTCAGGGTTCCTAATAACAGAGCCAATCTGCTTGAGTGCCTGCGCTCCTGCGTTCTGTACCCGTGTATGGGAGTCTGTTAACACGTCGATGAGCTTGGGTACGATGGTGGGCAGGCAGGAGGACAGCTGTTTGGGTGCACAGTAAGCCATGGCTCCCAGCAGCTCCACAGAACCAGACTTGGTTCTCCAGGAGTCCTCCTCTAGCGCTGCCAGCAGGGACGGCAGGACCAGCTTCACTCCGTGGGCGCTCAGTTTGGACATGACGGCCTTGGCTGTGTCATCTGCAGCCTACAAGACACAGGGAAAAAACTAGAAGTTAGAACTTAGGAATTTCAAACTGTTTTACTCTTTATTTGCTGAATGAATGCATTGAAGTGGGCCACAAACATAACAGTCACTTATTAATAACAAAACTTTCAAATTGATGCCTTTCACTTCACTTTTACTGATTCTACTTCAAATCTACAGATTCGTTATTTCTCTATTCAGCTCCAATGATGCAACACTGGGTACTAAAATGATTAGAAAGCTTAAAGAGCCAGGAAACTCCATAAAAAAAACTAGTTTGTCTTTCCTCTTTAGGTGGTATCCCTTTGGTCTTTCTACTAAATGTAACTCCTACTGCTACTACAGTACTACCACAATACTACTGTACAATTATAACTGCTTAATTTTTACTACTGTCCACAACAGTGTAACAGTAACTGTTACATTGTAAAAGTACTAACTATGTCTTCTATACTAATTACTTCAGTCTACCACTTCTACTACACTAATTACAATACGTTGTCTTCTTGGGCCCTTGTCTTCTTGCCAGATGATCTAGAATGTGTTACTACATAATCATTAATAAATGATATTAAAACTTAACCTCCTATTTCTTCTACTGCAAGGGGAAGGGAAAATTATTGGAATTTTGATGGCAAGGAAACTGGCAACAAAAGGCGAAGGACAAACTGTTGCAGTAAAAGGAGTGATATTGAGTGTCTGACCTCTCTCACATACTGGTTCCCATCTCCAAAACACAGCAGCAGATGTGGCAGCAGGTGCACCACATACGGCTCAAACAGACGCCCCAACATGGTGCACAGCATCTCAAACGCAAAGAGGGCACCTGGAGATTCAAATTAATATGCAACATTTTTTTATTTTATTTATTCCAACATGTAATCACCAGACGTGGTGACGACACACTCAAGTTTCTTCAACTTATATTAATGCTGCCACCAACACAGGGGACAAATACATTTACAGGACAATACTCATTTTCACCTGAGCTAAGTGAGGAAAGCCGTGTAAAATGCCTTTCCCAAGGTCACAAGATCGGTGACATGTCAGTACTCGAACCCAGGACTCTTAGTTCCCAGTCGCGCACTCTGCCACTACGCCACCCGACCCCAACATTTACATTCAAGAGGGTGTAACAGGGTTGGACAAGTCTCATTGCCCACTTGCCCAGGGCAAGTAGAAGTACTGTTCAGGCAAGTGCATGTGCCCCCGGATTTGCCCATTATGCAAAGTATAGCCGCTACAGTCTCCAAAATAAGATAATTTCCTTGGTGGTGGTAAAAACGCATAGAAATATATTTTGGGTAAGTTAAAAGTTGGTTTGGGCAAGTGAAAATGACCTTGTACTTGCCCAATAGGGTTAAGTACAAATATAGATTTTTGAAAACTTGTCCAACCCTGTGTAAAATATTTACTCAGCACAAACGTATGTTCTTGCAGTTGACAATACAAGACAGGGCTATAGCCAGTTTAACATTTTTCCGTCAGCCCAGGTTGAATTTTCAAGCCTTCAAAAATGCAGTTTCCCACATTTTTGAGAGGCGAATCATGGGAGTGGTTGAGAGTGGTTGTTGGTGGTCCTTTTCAATTGGAACATTTCTTTTGATTTTGTCTTCGAGGTTGGTGGACTGGTTTTAATGAAAATTTCTATGTCCCAAGTTCCAGCACTTGACGGGAAAACAGGCGCCTGGAGTCATGATAATGTGATTTAATTTAACATCAAGACATTTAACTTTGTTTGAAGTCTACATGCGAGGCAAAGCTACTGTTTGATCTTACTTTATTTAATTTGCTATTTTTTTATGATCTGTGTGGTAGCCACAGGACATATCTCAAATTATTTTGAACCTTTTCTTGTACATATTGTCATTGTCGTGAATCTGTATGTTTTCTTTGTACCTACGTTGTATTTTCATGTACTACCATGTAAGGTCAGCACAATTCAGCGGTCCATAACCTGTTATGTACTGCTGCTATGCTGACCACTGTCTTGTAGTGCTGCATACCTAAACCCAATTTTAGGTTCAGGTCCGGATTCAAGTCCAGAGGTTTAGGTTCAGTTCCGGACTTGTAAGTCCGGACCTAAACCCATGGCATAATATTATACAATATTGCATGTTAGCAACCTTGCAATGTTGTTTGGGTGAAACTTTGGCCACATAACATGGAGGCCGGTACTTGACGATGCCCGATGGCAATGTTTTCTTCATTTTGCAGCAAAGGTTTTGCAATGTACGGAAGGTTTTAGGTGGTTTGGAAAGAAAAGGGGTATGTGAAATGGTCTTTTATGGTAATAAGTCCGGACTCGGTTCTTGACTTTTAGGTTTTTTTGGACTTGAACCTAAACATTCTTACAAGTCCGGATCCAAGTCCAGTGAACCAGTATGCAGCACTACTGTCTTGAATAAAGAATAAAAGAATAAAAGAAACTCTAATCATTAGACTGAACTGAAGACAGACCTTCCCTGTGCCTGAAGTTTTTCTTGTTCTGTATGGCCTCCTGTAGAGTTGTCATCACATCCAGCTGTTTCAGAGACAAGATGCCCAGTCCCTTGATCAGCCCAGCCAAACCGTAGGCTGCACCTTTCCTCTCAGCAAAGTTCTCAGAGTCTTCAGTTATGTCAGAAAAAAAGTAAGATTAGTAATAAGTCTTATTTGTCAAGTGGTATAGGAAAATAAGGATACCCCCCCAATATCTGTCATCCAAATATCACAGATCATAACATGTACAGAGCAGAAGATATAAAAAAAACATGAATTTCTTCTGCAGCAATACTTAATAGGTAAGTCGCTAGCATTTGCCAGAAATCAAACATTGAATTTCATGATCTTGTCAAGACTCACATGCCTGGTATCATCAATATCAGTTAAAAGAGCACTTGCACAGAACCCCGATATTTCACGGTTTTTGTTGGATTTTTCGTCAACGTTGCAATAAAATTTTGCCTGTTGCAGACAATATTTTTTCCGACATAACATTTTTAAACTACAGACGGATCTTATATCTTATATGTGCAAATACAGCCTTATATACTGACGTTCTGCCAAAGTGCTATGCACAATATATTAAGGATTTCGCACAGGTGCAGTACGTTTTGCCGACATGCTAGTTAAAAGCTTATTTAGTTATGCCAACCAAAATTACATAGTATTACACAGCCACACAAACATGCCAAAAACAATAGCTCCATCATTCACATGGATTACAGTGATTTTTTTTGCACTTGGGTGTCATCTAGTAACTTGAGAGTTTATTCATAAAAAAAACCCACCTAGTAGCAGTCTGAGCAGCTTCTTGGCCATGTCTGGAGCCTCAGACTTGATGGCTGGGACCAATGGTGGCAGACAGTTGGCAACTGCTTCTTGTACCTGGCAGGATGTGGAGGGAAAAAAGAAACACATTTATTAGTCAATGTTTTTTCTTCCCAAATAACACAAGTTTAAAGTTAAAACTTTTGGTCCAACACAAAAAATTCTCTCACCTAGAGCTTTCAACCAGTCATTGTCTACCAGATACCTTTGACCCAGTGTTGACGTCACACTTCAAAAAAGCCACGTGACAAGCTTCACTGGGTCAGTCTACTGAGGAAGACCAGAGTGACTGGTCGAAAGCTCTAGGTGAGAGAATTTTTTGTACTTACTTTACTTTACTCAAGATGCACAGCCACTGGCAGGCAACTGAGGAACAATAATGCGTTCACTCTTCCCAAGGCCAGAACTGAACGACTAAAACAGTCATTCCTGCACACTGCAGTTAGACTCTATAATAACTCTGTTTCCTAGCCTAACCATCAGCCTGTGAGCTCGGATCTTTGTTTAGTGTTTGTTATTATATTATGCATTTTTGTCAGTCTCATGCACATTGTGATATTCAGCATGTACGCACAATGTTTTGTAACAAACCTACGTAATTCAGGGTATATATTAGACATGTATATGTGTGTATTTCCCTGTCAATGTATGTTTGAGGAAGAAATAAGTAAATAAATAAACCTGCGAACTACAATTTGTACTGACCTGTTGTGAGGGAGTTGATAAGGTCTCAGTCAGCTTGGCAACTATAGGTTTGACTTTGGGGTCATCCTTGTTCAGGTGCTTGGCGAGAGACCCCATGAGAATCACCACACTCTGCCGCACAGCGTCATACTCCCTGGTCTTAGGAGCTTCGGCCAGAAACTTCTCAAACACTGGGAGGAGCTCAGACACACAATCCTGGAGGAACAAGGACAAGTAATTTAAAATTTGTACTGCCATGTTGCAGGTGTGTTTGCCTGTGTGTGGATGGCGTTCAGTACCAAGGACAGGTATGTTGACCTGTGTGTGGATGGTGTTCAGCACCAAGGACAGGTGTGTTTGCCTGTGTGTGGATGGCGTTCAGCACCAAGGACAGGTGTGTTTGTGTGTGGATGGTGTTCAGCACCAAGGACAGGTGTGTTTGTGGGGGGGATGGTGTTCAGCACCAAGGAGAGGTATGTTTGTGTGTGGATGATGTTCAGCACCAAGGACAGGTGTGTTTGCCTGTGTGTGGATGGTGTTCAGCACCCAGGACAGGTGTGTTTGTGTGTGGATGGCATTCAGCACCAAGGACAGCTGTGTTTGTCTGTGTGTGGATGGCATTCAGCACCAAGGACAGGTGTGTTTGTCTGTGTGTGGATGGCGTTCAGCACCAAGGACAGGTGTGTTTGTGTGTGGATGGTGTTCAGCACCAAGGACAGGTGTGTTTGTCTTTGTGTGGATGGTGTTCAGCACCAAGGACAGGTGTGTGTGTGTGTGGATGGCGTTCAGCATCAAGGACAGGTGTGTTTGTGTGTGGATGGTGTTCAGCACCAAGGATAGGTGTGTTTGCCTTTGTGTGGATGGCGTTCAGCACCGAGGACAGGACCTGGTGTGTTTGCCTGTGTGTGGATGGCGTTCAGCACCAAGGACAGCTGTGTTTGTCTGTTTGTGGATGGCGTTCAGCACCAAGGACAGGTGTGTTTGTGTGTGGATGGTGTTCAGCACCAAGGAGAGGTGTGTTTGTGTGTGGATGGTGTTCAACACCCAGGACAGGTGTGTTTGTCTGTGTGTGGATGGCATTCAGCACCAAGGACAGGTGTGTCTGTGTGTGGATGGTGTTCAGCAATGACAGTAATGACAGTTGTGGCAGAAACCTGTGCTGCATGCCACCTGTCATGACAGGGAAAAAAAAAGTTAGACAACATCAAAATGGTTCTTGGGTGAAGTACAATTGTCATTATATATTTTGTACAATCACCATCAACAAGTTACTGTAAGTTACTAACATAAAACAATAAATAACTCACCTTGCCGTGATCTTCTAGTGCCATCTGTGCAGCATCCAGCATCATCTTCCTGACACTGACATGTCTGTCGTTCAGACCATCAGGGACAAAGAAGGAGAATAAGGGAGCCACCTTGTCCTTCCCCAGGTGTTTAGAGATCTGCCCCAGGGCCAGAGCGATCCCACAGCGCGCTTCATACTTGTCTATGGCCTCGTCAGCGATAATCCGACCAAAACTGTCTTTAACAGGAGGGGGGAGCTGGGAAATTGGACAAATGTTAGTAAATTACAGTTCTGAAAATGTGCATCATATTATTCCTGAGTGTACTATAAATGATTGATTGTACATGTAAAAATGGTAAAATTATAGTAAGGTTACATGTATCAGAATTGCTGAATATACTCTTGACAGTACAATCAGCATTTCTTCCAAAATGCAAACCAAAAACACAAATAGCCAAAGTGGTGATGTCTAAAGTACAGACTCTGGGTATGTGTCAAATCCTGCTGTATTCTCTTCTGCGATTTCGTGGTAAATGTTTCAGTCTTCTAATAAAAGAGTGCAAGATTTTGCTGTATTTTGTTTGGCATCTTGCTGTATGGCTCTCTGGATTTCACGGTATATAAATATTATATATGCCCTTGTAGCGCAGGGCTCAAAATTCATTTTTGGGAATAGGTGCACTGGTGCACCCAACCTAAAAAATCGGGTGCATAAAAAATATTTTAGGTGCAACACATAAGTAGAATGTCAGCAAAAACTATAATTATGTTTCATTTCAAGAAAATGAATATGATTTAACTTACATTTAACGTCTTTATGTTAAACCTAAGAAAATATTTGGGTGCACTGGTGCACACACAGAAAAATTGGGTGCACAGCTCCAAATTTGGGTGCACTAAGGTGCATATGCACCCAGTATTTCCAGCCCTGTAGGGACTACTGTTACTGACAGTTAGTATTCAAACTTCAAAGGCCCCAACCTAGAGACAGAACAGGCTTGGGTCAGGGGATATAACGCGTCAGTCTATTTTCACAGTCCTGCAATGTCCCCAAGATATCTGGCAAAATCCCACAAGCTGTCTCACAAAATCCCCAGAGATACCACACAAAATCCCACAAAACACAATAAAATCTCATAAGACACTCGTTCTCATTCAAATGTACAAAATGCTGTCGCCACTCTTTACGACTAGGTATGAGCCAAATCATGGACCTCATCGTTGCTTTCTTCACTTTTCCACTACACTTACTATGTTTCACGAAAAATGTACCACAAACCTAGGTTTTATTGATGACTTGAGAGAAATTATGGTCGCGGGTTGGATTTCTCCCCCTAAAAAGCGGCTGTTGCCTGAGACGAAATAGAAACTTTAAAAAGCAACCTAAAACGTAGCAATTTGATTACGGCAGTATTTTTCTGCCTGGTGAAGTCGGATGGCCAGGCCCTCTGACTGATCAAGTCAGATCGCTCCTGTCACTATTCCTGTACGTCATGCGAGGTGTTTCATACCTGTCGCCAAGTTCTGTAACATCCGTTACCGCTCAAGTAAGACGGTCGTGCAGTTTAGATAGAGTCACATATAAGACAAGAAATTGCCATTTTGATGACTTTTAGCAAGTTTTCTAGGTTTCTAAGGGAAGAAGAAAAGAGTGTGTGCTGTCATTTGTAGCTACCTTCGCTGAACAAATTGTTTTACAGTAATGAATGTAACATCCGTTACCGTTGTTTTTACTTTCAATTTTAGTTTCTTCACCTGGTATATAAAAAGTCGCCCAGTTTTAAAATGTCCGTACTTATGCCCCCTTGATCTCGAAGGATGAAGATAAAAACTGCAGATCTTCTTGGAGAAATAAACAAAAACGTCCGTTTTGTAACATCCGTTACCGGTAACGGAAGTTACACCTGTAGCGGAAAAGACGTAACAAGAGATTGAATTTCCCTTCCCTATGCACCATAAATATAATAGTTGGAAATAAAGTAGAAAAAATATGAATCCGAAGAAAAATAATTCTCTGTGGCGTCAACAGACTCAAATGTTCTACTCTTCTTTGCTTCCAAAGATATTTTTGCTACTTCTATACACTGCATTTAGCTATCTTCATGTGTTCGATACGTGTATATTTACCAGTAAATAATGGGTTGACAGAAGTACTTTCATAGATACTGATGCCTAAACTAATGTCTTTTGAGGTGATGTCATAAATACGTTCACCCAATTCATGCTGATGTTCCAGCGTTTTTGCCACACTAAAATTGCATTGTTTACATATGTCTTATCTAAGTGCATACATTTTCGGTAACTTCCCATGGAAATTAACGTGTCCTTTTTTGGTAATCATTATTTCAGATGTTTTCCTAAAAAATAAGGTAGGTTTGCCTGAAAAAACAGGTCATCGATTTTTCGACCCAAAAATCACCATTTTGTACATTTCAATGAGAACGAGCCAAGAGACACCTTGAAATCCCACAAGACATGATCTCAGAAGAGGGATACAATTAATAATATTAATATATTTTGTTTACTGTATAAGGCCATGTTGATTTGATTATATGGATGACATCCTCTAGGAACCCCAAAACTGATGCGAGCGCGCAAATAAAAAAAAGTTTGGCCGAAAAAAAAGTTGCTTTCATTATAAAATCTATGTGGCTTTGAAGGTTGCACAAATGACACAAAGTATGGTTTGGCAAATAATCTAGTCTTCAAATTCATTTCTTTGTATTTTTGTCTTTTTCGTTTGATTTTGGCATTCTTCGACATTGGTATCGTTTTCCAATGTTGTTTTTTCAAATCACGGTATACATTTGCTCATTTTGCAACTGTTTTGTACAATTTACAGTATGGTTGAAAACTTTTTTTTTGGAAACGGCCGAAAATTCATGCGTGCGCGGATGTCATCCGTACGCGTATAATCAAATCAACATGGCCTAATAAAAGTTTTGCCTAGCAGACCTCCAGTTTGTCCTGATACATGTCCAGCAGCTGGTACATGACAGCAGGTGTGATATCCGGGTGCAGCTGCAGGGCACCTGACAGGGCAGCTGCAGCTGATGTCCTGATGACGTCCTCGTGGTGTACAATGTCGTCCAGTATCAGGGTACAGAGGAGGGGGTCCACCTCACAGTCAGCCTTCTCCCAAAGCCTGGTCAACAACAACAAGACATTGTGGAGAATTAGCACTCTGTATGAAACACAACTTGGTAGAACGTACTGCACCTGCGCAAAACCTGTAACGTATTTCTGCATAGCACTTTGGCAGAACATCTCACTTAAGGTGTAGTATTACAATTCGTCTATAGTTTTCAAATGTTGTGTTGGAAAATCAGCAACAGGCAAAATTCTCATGCAGTATTGACCAAACATCCAACAATAACTGTGAAAAATTCAGGACTCCCGCCAGACAATTAATATATATTCTGCTTACATGCTTCAGCACAATGCAATTTACAGTGCCACACAAAGCAAGACATTACCGGTAACTCACATAATAACTGGTGGTCACTGACTATCATTGGTAAAAAATGTTTTTTAGTAGTGTAAGAAAGTTTTTCACCCTCTTAATTTCTATTAAAGCTCCTGAAACCCTGTGCGACTGTGAACAGTAAACAATAAACCAGATAGTGGGTGCATGAGAGGGAGTATTACTGTAACAATACATTTCCATAGTGACTGTCCTGAGCACCTTCCTCAGGACAGGACTGACTTGTAATACTTCCCACTGCAGCTAGGAGGCGCTAGTGAGTAGGGTGTGGTCCCAAACACGACTTTCCAGTTTTGCCACCCTGAATTTTTTATTTTTTTTAAATTCCAACATGTAATCACCAGACGTGGTGACGACACACTCAAGTTTTTCAACTTATATTAATGCCGCCACCAACACAGGGGACAAATACATGACGGGACAATACTCATTTACACCTGAGCTAAGTGGGGAAAGTCGTGTAAAGTGCCTTTCCCAGGGGCACAAGATCGGTGGCATGTCAGGACTCGAACCCGGTACTCTTAGTTCCGAGTCGCGCACTCTGCCGCTACGCCACACGACCCCACCGCCACCCTGAAATTGCATTAGATGCCTTTAATACACAAGGACTTTTAAATAGAGTGATGGACTCACTTTGTAGCGATGAGTTGGTTTTTGTCCTGGGGGTCATACCTGGCCACCCAGACCCGCTGGACTACCTTCAGTCTGCCGTCAGGGTCTGTGTCTGTTCTGGGCAGGACTGGGACTAGTGTGGTCAGACCCTGGGGAAGGTACACATCACAAGTTGATGATACATTTACATAACAGGTTTAATGCGGTCTATGACGCCGATGCTGCATGGAGCTGGATATCTTTTTGCAGATGTACGACCTGTATGGCCACAAGGCCGCAATAACTGCCCTATAGTTGTCACTATATTGTTATATATCTTAATATGTTATTAGTATGTTGTCAGTTGAATTGTCTATTTTTGTATCATTACAGTAACTGTTTTATTATGTATTTTGTATGTAGAGAGACAACTGGCAGTGGCAGAGGTGCAATCACAAATGTATGCACCTGTTTTGTCTCTCCTCCATGCTACTTGCTGTTGCATTGGAATTTAGTCTAATAAATAAATAAATAAATAAATAAAAGTCACAACATCTCAGGACAAGTAACAGGGCTACATATAGCAACACAGGGGTTCCGGGTTCACTTCTCAGTCTATTTTTTTAATCCAATCTCACCGTTGAGACCCTTTGTTTCCTTGTACTGTCAAAAATTGCTTTGTGATTCCCAGTGTATTGAACTTGAAATCACTCAACTTAAACTCAATGTCATTATAAATAAAAATCTAATTAACAGTAAGGTCTAACATTTTACTGTGATTTTGAATTTTGGTTTCAGTATTTGTATGACACACTGGAAGCAATTACATTGTAGTCATACTATGATAGATGTACATGTAAGCATGCCATAATATACATTATACAAATGAATGTACATTGTACATTATGGACTTGCAGAACAGTAAGTTCAAACTAACAATGGACACAGGTAAACAGTAAGTGTAGCAATATCTGAGTGAAGCCCAGCTGTAGGTAATACTATGTGTAAGGTTTGACACCAGTATTCTAGCCAGTGAAATTGCAACATTGTTTAACCCAACACCAGTCACTATGGTGACAGACGTCAACAAATCATGTCATTGGCCAGGTCAGAGGTTAGTGTTTGGAACAGAACAGGAGGACGAAGAAACTGAGTAAAAACAATAAGTTTTCCTTCAGTAAAAATAACCAGTAGACTGTGTACATGTACCTCCAAGGCAGCCTCTCTCACTGGTGCAGCTGGGGCCTGGAGGGACTCTAGCAGGGTGCTGATCTCCCCCATAGTACACGTGGTACAACCCGCATCACCACTGGCACACAGACAGGTGGCAACCACTACAGTCTTGGCAATGTTCTGATGGAGACAAACATACATGTCATGGTGGATTAACACTAGGCTCATCAACTACAGTTTTGTATGATTTATCTACGTCTGAATTTGCATAAGGCCACACCAATTTAATTCCTTGGTAAACGGAAAAATAATGGAGCGGGCGGGCGAAAAAAATAAAAAAAGGCCTACTAGTAGGCATCCTATTATGGCCTGTATGGTATGATAGGAGCCAAGAAGTCAACACATCAGGCTGGTTCAAAATTTAAACAATGAATTTTAATGATACCACTGCATTGAAACATGGAATAACTGTAACAACTAGGAAGAAAAGGACTGTTTTCAACTGTTCAGGGAAAAATATGAGCATTTAGCAGTTGATTCTGAATTTCTTTTTTGCAAATCAGAAAAAAATGAAGCGGGAGAATCCGTTAACCAAGACATTAAATTGGTGTGGCCTAATTGATATCTGTAAAAATCTCCTTTCATTCTTTGTTAACATATTTGGAAGCACACAAATATGAAATAATACTTTGTTTAGTAGTGCATTTGTTTAGTTTTACTTTGTAATTAGCATCATGCATAAGTACTGCTGTGTACCTAAACCCGCATTATTTAGGTTCAGGTCCGCATTCAAGTCCAGAGGTTCAGTTCCAGACTCGTAAGTCCGGACCTAAACCCATGGCATATACAAAGTTGCATGTTGGCAACCTTGCAATGTTGTCGACAGGTTTTGCACAGATTTTGCAATATATGGAAGGTTTTAGGTGGTCTGGAAAGAAAAGGGGTATGTGACATTTATTCTTTGGTATCAAGTCCGTAATCTGTTTTTGACTTGTTTTTTTTGGTACTTTTTTTACATTTTTACAAGCCCAGACCCGGTCCAACGAACCCATACACAGCACTATGCGTAAATGATTTTATGTACTATGCCATTTAATTATTTATCTCCTTTTCATGAAACATGATTGTTACTAATAGATGTCAATTTTTTGTGAAAAATTAACATCTTTTCTTGCCTGCATTTCCGGTCCGGAGGTTCCGATGACATTGCACAGGACTCGCAACATTTCTTCTCGAGGCAGTAAAGCTGGGCCACTCTGTGATATCAAAAGTTTACAAAAAAAAAAACATTACAGTAAAATATGTAGTTTCAAAAGCCAATTGTCCCAGTAAAATACCATGATGACCATTATCTCAAGTGACTGAGGAAAGAGATACTGGAACAGTACTGTACATAATTTTCCAGCAACTACAAAAATATAGAACAGCTACCCAATCACAGAGAATTTAGCAAAAAGTGATTTCAGGACAGTGAATTAACTGAAGTTGATTCCCTGGACATTTCTTAAATTGTATCAATCCTATCTCAAAGCATTCAGTGTACTCTGATATCTGTGTGGCAAAATGTGATGTCACTGACGGAAACGGTCGCTATTGTATGCTAGTTCCAGCTATATAATACCAAAAATAAGGGACTCTTCACATAACCTGCTTCTGGGCTATTTCAATGCTTCAAGACAGTATGATGATGAAAATGTGCTAGGAAATGTCTCCAGTAAATGTCAATGACAGACAGATGTCTTCATCTAGAATATTTTCAGAATCTGTTTTTTGCCCCGAAATTGCTTTTTTTAATGCCTATTAGACAAGACTTAGTAAACAACTTAATTGTTGATACAATCATTTATATCATACCCGGGCCGCAATAACGTTTGATAACGGGTTCCGGACTGGGCCATACTTTTCCATGGCTTCCATAGAACGATTCAAATGCGTTTTGCCCTAACTGCGTGCGCCGCTTTCGAAAATTCGAATACAGAATCCGGACGTTAGAATTGAATGATGTTGTTGCATTTTAGGGTTTAGTGGCACCAACTTTTGGCTCATCTTGCATTGAAAGGCGCGTTTTCTTGGGTGGGTATGACATAAATAAAATACAACACGGTGTATATTCCACATCGCCCTCGGTCCCGGTCCTCCCGCAAGTCGGATCGCCCTCCGGCCTGCGGCTGACCCACGGTTAGGTCGATACCTCGGGCGATATGGAATACTCCGTGTTGTATTCTATATTAAATTTTTTTTTTATTACCTCCTCCTCCTCTGCTCCTCTCAACCTTGTGTGCTCCTCAATCACGTCAAGAGCCTGTCCCATGACCTCCAGGTCACCTTCAACCTTTGACCCTCCATTTTGTAGAACATATTTCAGCAGAGGGAAGAAGTATGCAAATCTGGGTGCAGACAGGGGACCAATCAGGAGTCTGCTTTTATTTTCTGACGGGACTGTGTGAGTGTGTAGTAGGTGGACAGCTCGGGTTGCCATGGGAACCAGTTCTTCCTGACACCAGGCTGGGTCCACGGTCACGGCAGGCTGGGACAGTCTTAGTGTTGTGTACACAACCAAACTTCCTGCAGAAAAGGCACAATCATCATTTACAAGCAGTACAGTTTTCAATTAACATTTTGATCAGTTTTGAAACATACATGTATGTACACGAAGGGTTCTAGCTAGGATTTAATTTCCCGGGTTCGTGTCCTGACATTCCACCGATCTTGTGCCCTTGGGAAAGGCACTTAACATGACTTTCCTCACTTCACTCACGATAGGTAAAAATGAGTATTGTACATGTGTATTGTCCCATGTTGGTGGCAGCATTAATATAACTGTTGAAAAAACTTGAGTGTGCCGTCACCACGTCTTGTGATTAGATGTTCGAATAAAAACAACAACTTTTCTCCACTACAATTGACAAAAGAATGTAACACGAAATTTTCCCCACCTAAGTATTCCGTGTCCTTCTCAAACACAGCCGTCCTGAGGCTGACCAGGACAGGCAGGACTCGTGGGGCAGCCAGAGGTGACTGCAGGAGAGGCTGCAGCAGTGTGGAGACTGTGTTGATGTGTGACCTCAGGGCTGCTGGGTTCCCCTGGATGGAGGCTTGCAGTAGAGAACAGGCCTTGACCAGGACATCATCCATCTACGGGGAAGATTTTACAAGAAGTGTCTCCACAAATTGTATTGTACATTGTCCTATTCTGCCTAAATGTGTATCAAAAATACTTATTTACCCCTTGACTTTGAACTTTTCAAACTCAGATAGGTACCAGAAATCAACAGCAAAATCAGACTGAGAAATGTGGACCTCTAATATGGACAGTAATCAAATTACAAATGATCACATAGAGCTTAAAACAACTGTTACAGTAAATATATTGAACATTTAAAAAAGGAATCAGGGATTTGCCAGCGTCTATCTTTTGACAGAGAATTTTGCTGCTAATGCCAAAATTTTGCCTAGACAGCTATAGTACCTATTAACTATATGATAACTGGTAAAGGCAATATTGGTAGACTATCATTTTGTAGAACACAATCTCAGTATAGTATGCACTATTTATGCATCATCAGCACTAAAGAGCGCGCTCTGGTAGAGCCAAAAATGTCTACAAAACGTCTAGCGGACATTAGACATGATTTAGACATTGCTGAACAAAAGGCCAGTCGGGAGAACATTAAGTCTGACATAGTTACTAAAAAACGACATCGAAATAACCCAAGGTGAACATTTTATATCCATAGTCTCTTCACACGTCAGGTAGGGACACCCCTATAGGAGACAGTCCTTTGTTTAGCACAATGCGCACTTTTAAAGATATTAGCATCTGTCCGTTAATTAATTGTGTCATGCCCTATAAATTGTCTTGGCTTTGTGCAGTGCTTTTCATATGCATGCCAGTTTTCACACTTTTTTTTCTAAAGACATTCTGACAGACACCTCATGAACAATGGAAAACACAACAAGCAAGTCCTCTGCAAAAAGACCCTGTAAAGACCTGGGAAAGACATTCTTACAAATGTTTAAAAACTGTGCGGAACTTTTGAGAATGTCCAATGTCCGTTAGACGTTTTATAGACATTTTTGGCTCTTCCAGCGCACGGTCCTTGCAAATCTTGCAAAGATTTTTAGCAAAAGTAGTTTTCTATCTCTGAAGACTAAGAGGACCTCAAGGTACAGTTCATATTATCAAAATGTACTTTTACTGAGGTCTGCAATTTTAACACAGACATTACAAATGATCCACAACAGCCAAGGAATAACAACTGACCAGTAGTAGTCTGGACCTGATGGCAGACTCTCTCTCCAGTTCAGCTGACAGAGCTTCCTCCTGTTTCTTGGTCAGTTGAGGCTTGGCTTTTGCACCTTTGGTTGCCTTCTTCTCCAACTCCTATGGGCCAAAAGAGAGGGAAAATGTTATTTGGGTAGAGACTATGGTAAATAAATATAATTTAATATGCAACTGAGGATCTTTAATATTTGCACAGTCAATGAGAAACATTAGATATTACAATTTGCAAGTCGTAAATGTTGAAATTATTTGGTGAAGATAATAGTGTACAAATTTTTTAATCAGGTTGCCCACGCAACCTACGGCAAAAATTAGGTTGCCCATCAGAATTTTAGGTTGCCCCACCTATAAGTTACTACTTTCCTCAAAGTAAGTAATGTTACATACATAAGCCTTTGACAATATTTCTAACAGCCTTTACATTTGTAGTTAACTGATACTAGTAATAGCCATTAATACCAAAAATTTAAAGCATCAGCAGGCTACAGTGGTGCAAGCCAAGTGGGCATGATTTTAGGGGGGGGGGATTCTTAAAATTCAGGTAGCACACTGGGCTAACTGGGTTCAAAAATAGGTTACCCCAAGTAAAATTTGGTTGCCTGGGCAGCTGGGTAACCAGTTATTTTGCACGCTGTATGGTCAATAAATTAATAAATATGCAACTGAGGATCTTTAATATGCACAGTCAATGAAAGACAATTTAGATTTTACAATTTGCAAGTCGCAAATGTTGAAATAATTTGGTGAAGGCATGAGGTCGTGGTACTCTGAGTTTGTTAAAAAAAACCCTGACCTTTCTGATCTCCTCTTCTATCAGTTGTTCCTCGTAAGAGTAAGCCTTGTTCTCTCGTCTGATGTTCCCCTTGCTGCTTTCTTGTAAAGTTGCACTACAAAGAAATGAAACATTGAAATTAACATTAAAAAGATCATGACTATTGTATTATATAATGTTAACTGAATAACGAGAAATTCTTAAACCATGAAAGAAGGATGGTGAATGGATGGTGATGTAATTTACATGTATATCATTTGTCACGGCTATTCCGAGATCAAGGTGCGCCAATGGCATCGTACATCGTTATGCCAATCTTACTCTGTATTTATCGCATTCTGTTGACATTTATCAAACTTGTTATACTAGTACAGTTATTTTCCAGACAATCAGGAAGAGATTTGGTGTTAAGATGTTTAAAAACTTATGCTATGGCCAATTTAAGACCAGAAATTGGCATAAAAATACTACGTTAATGCTGTTGCACTTAGAAAAATGCCAGTTTTTGAAATGTGCTTTTAAGTAATTTGGGAACAAAAAAATAGAATGAAAAGATTTGCAATATGTTCAGACATGCTCAGTCTGATATTTTTTGCAAAAAACCTGATGATGATTGGAAATTTCTCTTTTCTAGAGCGCATTTATCAATATGTTGTACACGTTATGTAAAATTCATAAATTAACACATTGCAATTAACTTATCTCCCTGTACTAAAAAGGATGGTGATAGAACTGGCCATTTTGCATGTTATGCAAGGTACATCCATATATGACACAAAACATGTGTTTTTTATGTTGCTTGTCCTTTGGGTTAATATGGCTGATGG